CATAGTGTTTTGACCCCAGATTGTGTGTTAATTATTTGCCCCTACCTGGGACTCTAACAGGTGCTTATTTTCCAAAAATGTATTGCTGGTAATACATTTTTTAAATGTATTGTTGGTAATACATTTTTTAAATGTATTGCTGGTAATACATTTTTTTTTACTGCTAGTAATATTTTTTTCCTAAAATATACTGCTGGTAATATTTTTTTTCTAGAATATATTGCTTGTAATATTTTTTCCCAAAATGTATTGCTGGTAATATATTTTTTTAAAATGTATTGCTTGTAATAATTTTTTCCTTCAAAAATTCAATGTTTGTAATAATTTTTTTACAAAAAATGTATTTTAGAAGAATTAAGAGGTAGTTCCACGCTCCTCACAACTTCCTGATCAGAGGCCTGGCTGTTGGATGTAGTTTATCGTCTTACCCAGGACGCGTAAAAATAAACAAATTGTAAGAGGTCAAAAGATAAGTATTGATATTGTAGTTAAATTTTTGAAGATCAAACCTGACTGGAAAGCAAGAAGGTTCCACAAGCTACCAATGCGAGGGAAGAAACTATTAGCATAGAACTTACGGTTACATCTGACCATTTCAAGTATAAAATTATGAGATCTTGTCGTCAATCTGGTAATGAGCTTAAATTCATAAAGTCTAGTTTACCATAGAGGAAGATCTACCAAGAAAGGTGAAATGTTGTAAGAATCTGATTGTTAGATCATCCACAGCTTCTTGCATCATTTAACTTTTCTTGGCAGATCTTCTTTTCATGTTTTTTATTATCACTTTTATTATGAAGTATCCCATATTGTGATAATAGAATATCTTTCAAGAAAGGTGACATGTTGTAAGAATCTGGATGTGAATTTATTGTATGTGATTTAGCGATTAAAGCATTTTAATAAACTTTCTTCTCAGTTAATTGATTTCTCTTTAGTCGTAACGTAGCATTTTGAAATCAGAATTATGGTCAGATTTATTTAACTGACGAAAAAAAAATTCTCTTTTCATAGATTTGTCACGCGAAGAATCTTTTCCACTTTCTTATCGATTTTCCTAAAATTCTTTTCCCCATGCATATATAAATAAAAAAAAATCTGTGTTGAAATTAGTTAAAATCTGAATTCTATAACGATACAATTAAAGTAAAAATCAAGCGTTCAGCCACTTAACGTTTTGTCTGATGATGCCGGTTCATCGTCGAAACATGATAAAATTAATGCTTTTAAATTGTTTTATATATATTCTGAAAATCGGGATGAACAGGATTTACTGATCCCTAAAAAATTCATAATTGATTAACAGCTTCGATCTCCTTAAGTGTTCTGACAAAATTAGCCTGTGTGGCAAAAACATTAGCCGTTTAGCATTTGACGTAATTCCTCTTGGCAGTTGTAGTTTCTTTGAGAATATCAACTGCACTGTTTGTTGATAGTGCCATAATTTGCAACGGTGAGATTGGTGCCTTAAGTTATAGCACATGATGCATCAAGATTAACAGGAATGTAAAGTACCACACCTGTCTTGCATCAAGCAAATGAAACTGATGTTTACTTAAGTTTTTATTTATTTATTTATCTCGCTTTATATTTATTGCTCCGCCATTTTTGTATTTAACGTTTTAATTAGTTTCTTGCTTAATGAAGATGTTTTCATCGACTAGATATTCAACTGATAGTCTCATCACGTGATCGGATCATATAATATTCGTTTCATATGGGAAAAAGAAAATATAGCCAAAATATTACTAAAGTACACATAGGATATATGTTCGGGTTACGTTGCGGTTATTTGCGCGTAAAATGGTATCGGCAAGCGGGGTCTAAGTTCCTGTTTCGCTCACTTTCTTTTGCCCTTGAGAAATGCATGAATTTATATCTTCCCCGGTTAAAGAGCATTGTATACTGGACTATTTAACCTTTTTTTGGCAGCCAATCTAGGAGGACTACTCTGAATTCAAAATTGTGTGGCAGCAGCGTACCGTGATTTTGTTGTTTTTTCTGAGAATGGACCAGGCCAAGGAGTACTTTTTGTTGCTAATACCATCTAACCCAATACAGTCTGTTGCATATGACTTGGAATGGATAGAAGTGCCGCCATTTCTGTAAGAAATAACATGAAAAAAAATTACTCAGTATGGCTCCTCGGCAATTTCATGGGTCATAGTTTGAAAAGGGACTGGATATGATTAGATATCACCTAATGATGGTATGATAACCTCTTTTTAGGTTAGTGAAATTTATAAAACTTTTAAACCTTGTTTTATCTTTATGAAATTCCGATCATCTTTTTCTTCCCATGCGATTCCGATCATCTTTTTCTTCCCATTTCTACCAAAATGCTATATAAACATAATAGTCTTTTTACTGTTTATTTTTATTGCCTTTGAGAAAAACTACGATTATTTTCTTGCTCCTAGGATCAGAAGTTTGTCGACAGAGATTTGGGATGTTAAATTAGCTTTCACAGTATATAATTGTTTTCATTTGAAATTTACGTTTGATATCTTTCGAAGTTCTAGGAAAAAGCCTTGAAGCACGCTTTGTTAGCGTAGGAAAAAGAGATCGCTTCAAAGAAAATGGTAGGAAAAATAAAAGATAAAATAAGTAATGTTTTAGTAGTTTATAATAATAAATATAGAATAAGTCCTATCAGTTATTATTTCCTGACTTCGTCTGCCAAGTGTTCTGTCTTTTCTCCGCAGCTTCTTGTCTTTTGTAGCTCTGAGCAATGGTTGTCTCCTCGGTATTTCCAACAGTCCCTGTTCTGTCATCCACTTACGCAAGTTCGTTAGGTAAGTTACTCGATGTTTCTCTCTGCCTTTGTGCTTTAAATATATCCTGTCAATGTCAAAATCTTCAAGTTCTCTTTTGTCATTATGCATCCCAGAAATTTTAACCGTCTTTCTGATTCTAAGTGTCCTTTTTCATTCCCATTTTTATTAATGCTCGCTCATTGCTCACATGTTCCATCTATGGTATTCTCATCATTCTTCTGTGGGAAAACATCTCTGTTGCTTCAAGTCTCCTGTTCATTTGTGTGGAAAATTTCCAACATTCACTAATTTAAATCACCGTATCTTCATCTTTATTGTTTTTAGTGGAAAATTCTCCGGGACCCAACATTAATTGTTTCAAATATTTAAAAAATATTTTAAATTTTTTTTATAAAATACTATTATCACTATGGAATCGTTACAATAAAAAATTATATTTAAAGGAGGAACAACAAAATGGGATTTAAATTTAACTTTTACAAATGTCGGCAATCAAACCACTTCATGTTGCCTCAACAAAATTCAAGAAGAAATATTTGGTACGATATAAAGACTTCTAGTGCTTATATTTTATTAAGTTTAAAACGCATTACTTAACCATTTAGTTTATCAAATAATAAGCAATTTCGCAAAGGTGATGGTCTAAAATATATAACTTTTCAATACGTAGAAAAGAGGTCGAAAAGAAGAAGAAGAAGAAGAAGAAGAAGAAGAAGAATGAGGAGGAGGAAGAAAAAAATGTATGTTATAAAATGGTATTTTATCAAAATGCTCAAAAGTAGACACAAGTAGTAATCAAAATTATTTGCACTTTTTTGCTTTTGCTCTTTTTCTTTGTTGTCTCGCTATTCCATTTTACGTACATCGTCTGGTGAGCCATTATTAGTGAGTTCGATTCTCACTCGATGTCCCGTAATAAATTCAACATGAATTAATCTAACAAGAGTTGCTATATCTTAAAACTACCTAAACCTCTGTCACTCATTTTCTTTTTAATCCGAATGCGCATTTCAATATCGAACGATGCCTTCCAGAAGCAAAACTATGTATTAAGCAACAGAAAAACTGCGGTAGGAAAAGAATAGAGTGCTGAACTGTTATCAATTGTCTTATATAGCAATGAATGTTGGATAATTTCACAGATGAACAAAAGCCGCGTGTCAAAATAGATGTGATTCTACAGAAGGATGCTGAGAATACCATAGATGGAATATGCGAGTAACGAGGAAGTTTTAAAGGAAATAAGAACAAAAATGATACTTGTACTTAGTAGCAAAGAGAGTTAAAATCTGATAGTCCTGGGTATAACGATAAACTACATCTGGTAGTAAGGCCTCTGATCGGGAGATTGGATGTTTTGAGGAGCGTAGAAACATCTCTTAATTCTCATTGTTTCCAGGTCCACCCTAATCATGGGTAGTAGCACCTGTTAGGGTCCCAGCTATGGGAAAATTGTGAACCCCCAAAGAAAAACAAATTACTATGAAAGTATAACAATATTTATAGCAAAATGGCCAGCAATACAGTTTATCTCTAGTTGAAGGTATGCAAATTACTTTCAAAATATTTAGATTTCGGCATTAAATAATATACAGCTACTAACAAATTGTAGTGATTTCACCCAAATCTGTTTAAAATACTATCAAACAGGCGACATGAAAGAACACTTTCATGACATTAATCAATACAATATCCGACAATTTCTTAAAGAAATCAAACGGTATTCCAAAACATAACTTCAACAAAAATACAATATAAAAACAGACACGTATAATCGCCTCTAGCAATTATGTCCGTACAAATATGGATATTACAAAATCTGCGCATCATTTATCATGTATTCAATTGTGAAAGCAGAATAACATATATGTTTATTACTTCAAAGCTCTCAAAAAAATTAAATTTTGGAATTAAATGACCCATGAAGTGTTGAACAAACAAAACAAAACATTTAAACATTTGAAACTTCTAGGAGACATAAAAAGAAAAAAGGTTTACGGGAATTTGACCCTCACGGGGAATATTAAAGGCAAGAAGGGCAGCGTCAGTGAGTAACTTAATTAACGATTTTGTGTAAATTGATAGTAGAACAGGGAATAGTAGAGATAGTAAAGAGATAAACATTACTTAGAGGATAGGAAGTTGTGGAGAGACATGGTCAGTCATGTTCGGATGGGAAACGGCAGATAAAAGAAGTTTTTAACGTTTGTTAGTCATCCAGTTATGTCTTTTCTTTTTTTCTCTTATCGCTTTTTCTTTTCATCATTATATTTTCTTTTTCCTTTCTTTCTTCTTTTTGCTTTCATCTTTATTTTAAAATCCTTCCTCTTGCTTCGTTCATTCTTCACAATTTTCTTCGTTATTTACTATCAACTTTCTTTTTCTTTCACACATTCTTTAAATATGCTTCTTGTTATATTTTCCTTCTTTTTTTCTCCCCCTTTCCTGTTTTCATCTCCTCTCATTACTTCCTCTCCTCTTTCTCCTTCTTCTGTTTATCGCATACACCTGAGCTTCTACCTCGATTCGCAATTCTTTGTGTCATCCTGCCATTTCACCAATTCCATTAAACTAAGGTTACAAACATCATACACAAGTTTGTTTTTTTTTTTGCTATAAAACTATAAGAATAGAAGACATTTAAAGTAATTTTAAATGCACTGGAACGCAGCTGCTGATTTTGATGCAGTTTCTGTTAACTACTCTGCATATGCAAGCAAACAAACAAATACACCTGTATATATGCGTGCAAATCTATCTATCTATCTATCTATCTATCTATCTGAACGTGTGTACATGTGCATTCTTTTTTTTCTGCATCCAGTGCTTGCAAAAAAAACTGCAGATGCTGTGCTCAAATCTTAATAGATAAAGGTTATTCTAACACAAGGAAAGCATGCCAAGGTGCGTCTTCTAAGTCAAACAGTTTACCATTTGGTCCGTGTGTGGGAATAGTTTTATTATTATATCATTTATCTCACAGGAATCGCAATTTTGAAAAGTTCACGGTGATCAACTCGAAGAAAAGGCCTTCACTTGTGCAGGAATAATATTTTCATTATAGAAAAGAATCTGTAATTTCCCCTGTGGTTAAAGGAATCTTGAACGATACATATATTAATGCTTTCAAAAACTTATATAAGTTATCTTTTCGGTTTACTAATGTATTACTAATATTTACTAAAAGCTTATTTTCTACTGATTTATTCCAAGTAGCGTTCAATTTGTTTATTATCGCCATACGATATCGGCCACTTCTTTAAATGTTGAGTTGTAGTTGGTAATTTTCTGGGAATTTAAAATCGAGCACTTTATTCAATCTATTGGGATAGATTGATCCCATTCCGATGTTCATGTTTAGGAGATATCACATATCAATTTATGCCATCTTGTTAATTCGACTATGCGATATTGCTTACACTCAACTAGACTATATAACATTTTTGCACGACCCGACTCAAAATCCAAGACAGCCGGACGGCTTGATTTGCTTAACTAAAACTTTTATCTACTTGGCCATATCAGAAATTTGGAACCTTAAATCTCGTGAAGGTGTTTGTATTTTCAACATAACTAAACGCTGTGGTCGATCATGGATCTCAACAGATTTCTTTTTTATTAACTGTAAAGTGTCATAACCTCTAGGGGAAAACAGTGGAGTAATTTTGCGATGTCTTCTCCACTGTTTGATATTCAAGGTGTTACTTGTCATAGACTAGCTGTCACTCATATCTAGAGAATCCAGACTATTCTTCTGTTTAATCCATAACTGGGGAGAACAGAAATGGATTCATCCTTTTTCAAGGTTATTAGTGCATACGTGAATACAACATACTAGACTGGAATTTGAACTCGCTTCTCTGATTCCATCTGTAGTGCTGATAACCGACTTTTACAGTAGCTACCATGTAATTAGTTAATGGAATCTTCTCGTTTGAAGCTTAATCTCCTTTCTTTCATAATAAACGCCGTGACGATAATAACCGTGATGAAGACAATAATCTGAAGAAAACATTGTATAAGTATAATTTCTCATTTCGAAAGTTTAAACAAAAAATTTCGTTTTGAGGAAAGGGGTTTATGGCAATGGTCAAAATTCGTCGTTTCATTACAGGGAAACATTCAATGTTCGTTAACCGAACGGTTAGCCTTACTGCCAGTTGCTGTTGTTGGAAATGTTCAAGCGATATGATTTTTGGCATTGATAAAACTCTTTGCGGATTCACAGCTCCAGTCTAGAAGGTCTAATCATTTTATTTAAGATTTATAGGATTTTTGTAATTTGGAATGGAATTTGTAATAGCAATAGAAACCATAAATAATGTCTTTTACACATAAGGTAAAAGAGAAATATATTCGGACTTAGTTTTAAATATTTTACTATGTGAATTTAATTCTTATTGAATTTTACTATTTTTTTAAAAAATTACTTATCTTGTTTATCGAAAAGCTGTTCAATGAACAGCATCAATAGGGAACTCGGCAAGATTTGAACTTGCAACCTCCAACTTTGGGTAGTCTATCTTTCCAGAAGTTTCATATTGGCCAGGCTAACGATGTAAGAAAAGTCTTTTTTTTTTCTTCAGGGGTTCAAATTAGCTAAACCTGGATATGGGTAAGGGTTACGACAGTTAAAGAATTGATGCAATTTGCCGGCTTATCACATGAACTAAAACCGACCTTTATGCGTCTATGGAACTCCAAATTCATTCTCCAAATCAAGCACAGTTAGGATAAAAAGGTTTGAATGTGCAATACTAAGTATATCAATAATAGTTTAATCATATATCTTTACGAATATTCTCTTTAAATTTTTATAACGTCTTCAAAATTAATTTTATGTACTTTTTGAAAAGTTTTTTTATATCTCAGACATGATAAGGGGTTTTAATTACAGCGCAGTCTTATCATTTCAACTACTATAAACCGTGTTATTACATTTTATGAGGTGATCAGTGTTTATGTCTTGGAATAGTTCTAGTTATAAAACTAGATTCATTTTGGTTATGTTTCGAAATATCACCAGCATGTATTAGGGCAGCAATATTAAAGGCAAAATGTATCTGTTATAAAAGAGTGTCGGAAAATAAGAATCCAATTAGTGAAGAACTTTAATACTGGGAATCGTTGAAGAGGTCATGGGAGCCGTAGAAATTTTCAAGCACGGCGATGCATTCAGGAGAATTTCAGAGTCTTATTCGGTTTAAGGAATGCTGATAGTAGACACAGAAAGGAAACTACAAAGCCTTCTACAGAAGGTAGCGAAGAAAAGAGATTAGAAAGGATTATGCACAAATTAAACGAAGACAGAATACATGGTTATCAGCAAAAGGATGAGTCCAAAATGCAAATTACGAATCGGGGATACTAAAATCAAAGATTAACAGAAATTTAAATATCTGGGAAGTGTTCTAACAGAGGGCTGAAAGTGCGACACTGAGACCCGAGGACGTATTGAGATAGCCAAAGATGCTTTCCAAAAGCTAAGCAGAGTATTAAGAGACGGAAAAATTTCGTTAGAAAGAAAGAAGAGAGTGATAACTGTCCTACTGTATGGCAGCGAATGCTGGACATTCTCCTCAAAGAGGAAGAAGAGGCTTGAAGCAACAGAAATGCAGCTCTACAGAAAGATGCCGAGGATACCATAGACCGAATATGTGAGCAACGACGAGGTTTTGGAAAGAATGGAAACAAAAATCAAACTTATACTTCACATGAGGATGAGGTAGTTGAAATTTCTGGGGCACGTAATGAGAAAGGAGGGCTTGGAAAATCTGATCCTCACAGGACAGATAGAGGGAAAGAGGGACAGAGGAAGCCAGCGCGTAATATATTTGATGGGCTTGGGCACAGACTAAATCATTCAATCCTTTCTACATAAAAGAAAAACAAACACACAAATCTTCTTTTGTGTGTTTGTTTTACTTTTATGTAGAAAGGAGTGAATGATTCAGTCTGTATGCAAGAAAACCTCTAAAGTAAATGCGTCAGTCAAGCTGGACGTCGAAGAGTAGGAGAAGAAAGAGCAGACACGTGTACACAATAGGCACTCGGTATAGAATCTAATAAATAGGAAGATCTATGCGAATATATATATATATATATATAACAATATATCCACTGAATGATGCGATCCTTATGTATAAAATTGTTGTCAGATGGATCTGGTGTATTTTCTTTATAGCAGCAAGTACTTTAAAGAACTTCATGTCCTCATCGTCAGGCTGTCATTTTTTTCTTTAAAATCAAAACTTGAAGACGAAATAAATGTGTTGTAGACCGAAAACTTTTTTTAAAGAATGTGTTATTTATTAACGGTTATATAATATTGGAACGTGCAAGTCGCAACGCTAAAGTTCAAATATTTCAAGTGAGAATTATTTTATATGAATTTTGTAATTTGGTAAATCCACGAATTCTTTTGTTGTAAGTGTTTTTCAGTTAACGTGACATGAACTAAGTACATAGTTCAATTAATAGAGTGATATGTCTTAGTAGTTTTTTTTTCTCCGGAGTTTTGTACTGCGGATCAATTTTTTAAAAAAAATATTACGTTTATAAAAACAATTGATTTGCAGTACGAAGATGTTAATAAGGAGGCACATTTTTCGGTCTCTAATCACAATGTCTGGTTGATTAGGTTTCATTGTTCTGTCTGTGTGTATTGTGAAGTCCCATAATCTTATTACAGGTCCTATCTACGTAATCGGGTCTAGTTGGTGTTCATACCAATTTCTTACAGTTATGTAAAAGATTTTCCATTGCAGATATTGGTCCACTCTGTCATGCCGTGTTTTATATTCAGTGGGTGCCAATACCGCTCAAACTGATACAAGATGGTCAATTGTTTCTGGATATTTGTCACAGAATTTGCATTTTGGGCTAACACAATTTTTAGTACGTATACTTGATAATTTCTGGTTAGCAAGCATTAGTCCTATGCAGCAAGAATAAAGCCTTCGGTTTCAGCTTTTAACCCTGCAATACGTAGCCACTGATGGGTACGGCGTTTATCAGCTTGTTTGGTACGGGCAAAGTATTGACCGTAAAGTGGTTTATCTTGCCATCGTTTTGTATCTGGTCGGTTGCATTTACCTTTGCTTTCTTTTTTAAAAGTATTTTGCAGCTTCAATCGGCGTATTATGCTTTACTTGTATTTCTTCCCCCACTTGAACCTTTATTTTAAACTTGCTGGCTTCTTTTATTACTGAATAAAGTTGCTTACTATTTTCATGTTCTTTGACACAGACCATCATCCAATCTTCTGTCGTTTCTAGGTATCTTTGAAGGCCAGTTGGTGTAGTTTTGTAACACAGTTCTAGTTGAACTAATCCTCTGCCTCCTTCAGATCTGGGCATATACAGCAGATGAAGATCAGCTTTGGGATGATGCATGCGGTGGCAGGTGAGAAGCTTACTCGTTTTGACGTCGATTCGCTTAATGTCATCTATGGTCCATTTCAGGATGTTGAAAGTGTTTTGCATCAGAGGGGCAGCCAAGGTGTTTATGACTGATACTCTGTTTTTGTGAATTTAGCTCGGTATTCAGTACCAGACACACGCGCCTCGTAGATTCTTCGGTTTCATTTCCCGGGAGATTATTATTTTCTATCTCATTTATTTTAGTTTTTACCTCACATCCGCTGTCATTATTTATTTCTATACACATCTCTTTATTAATTAGGTGACGGGTTATCGTATTCTGGCTTATATCTAGTTTTATCTTATCTATTTCTGCATTTGTGAGTTTTTTTTTATTTTATTTCGCTCGATGTCCCTGTGAACATTGGCAAGCATGTTTGGGTTGAGTTGAGGTGTTATTTCACTTCCTACCACAGTTCTCCATATTTGGTTTGTCTGATTCGT